TTTTTTGTTATGCATTTACTGATAGTGTGTTTTTTGGGGTGTTTGGCAAATAAAGCTGGAATAGACTCAGTTGTAGAAATCATAACATTTAAATGATGTATGTTCAGTGAATGCTGTTAGGAGTTAGGACTGGAGTGGAGGTCAAACCGGTGAGGCATTGGTTCGGTTGGATCTCACTGATTTACTAATCAGACTGGTAAAAATAAGTAAATAGGAAAAATTCCCAAAAATTAAAATAAAGAGAGAAAATGCTAGAACTAGAAAAATCTAGTAATAATAAAAACATATTAGGAAAATAAAATAAAATTTCCATGGTTCCCTATATTCCTTGGAGGAATTAGCAATTAAACAACCGACAAATTGTATAAAACATCAATTTTTCGTATCAATTTTTTTTTAAAAAAAAATGAAAATGCACAAAGCTTGAACTTGGGAACAATCTCCATTTATGGAGTAATAAACAACTAAAACTAAAATAGAATATTTAATTAAAATATGGAGATTAAAAAAAGAAATACATGTAATTGAGAAAAAAGAAAAGAAAAACAAAATAGCAAATATTTATATACAAAAGAAGGCACAAAATCCACAAAATAAGCAAATATCTAGAACATTTATTTTTGTTTTTATCAAAGTAATCAACCTATGCATACGGCTATATTCAATTTGTGACTTCTCATCATATTGTGAGATCTTATTGCATAGGTTCTTCAATTTAGTAAGATACTGAGAAACTGAAAGTAATCCACGTATTAACGAACCAAGCTTCTGCAACATTTATTCTTAAAGCCAAAACAATATTTAGAATGAATGCAAGAAACTGCCCATTGCAAGTATATGACAAAATAACTTAATTATTTGTAAAAGCCCTAAGGAAACCAAAAAGTTCAAATAACTTTTTAAAATCTAAAACAAATAACCAAAGAAAAAATTAGGGGGTTTAGAACACGGATTGAGTTGTGAGAATAAGCTCGAATGTCACTGGAAGTTTGTGCAAAAATAGGGTTTTTTGGGTCAGGGAGTTTGAGAGAGAGAATCGCCAAAGTCCCTTTTTTCTTTCTCTGAAAGGGTTGTTTTCAAACCTAAAAACCTTCCCAAATGTTCATTTTTACAAGCATGCCCCTTATCAAATTCATCAGTAGAAATAATGGCTCTCAAGAGCAGTCCTTCATTGATGGTCCTTTTATTTGATGGCCCCCGGCTTGGCTTCTTGAACTCAGCCGTCGGGTCTTCTTCGTTATCAATTCTTCCCCACTATTGAAATAAATCTCCTCTTATTTGCACCAGATTCTATTTATCCCTCCTGTTATCGAGTTATCATTTACCTCTCAATGAGCCCACCAGTTTCACAGGTTTCTGGTTCAAACTAGCCTCTCCTGTCTGGTCTTGACACCATTGGGTTTAGTGCAGTTGAATAGCTTGTTCTAAGTGAAGTTTTTATCTTTCTTTATTTTTTTGATGACTTTAATTGGATGGTTTTGTAATTTAGGTATTCCTTTTGGAATAAATGGCGCCCTTTACACATATTTTATCTTTGAAGATTTGTAGTTCACTTGTGATTAGAAGCTTGATATTGTATGTTGCTTTTCTTTCCACAGTTGCTTCATGTTGAGATTTAAATTTTTTGACTTCGACTTTCTAATTGTAGTTTTGATGTTCTCTCACTTACAAAGAAAGAGATGAAAAATGAAAAACAGTTGAAATTTGGATGAATTTTTGGATTGAAATTTCGCCATTGCTTCTGTTTCCGCTTGATTTTTTTTTAAAATTTTTTGTGAGGAAATATTATTATTACTGTTACACCAAACTTCCAAGTCTCAGGCGCATAATAAGGAGTTAGCCCATAACCATATTTCTAGTTGGGAAGGGGACTAGAACTAAGTTTGGTCAAACTTTGCCACAAAGTCAAAAGCAAATGCAGTTCTTGGGTTCCTGAAATTTAAAAGTTTCATGGCAGATGGTGATGTCCCATGGTGTGAAGAAGAAACTTTTGATGATAAGAAATTGAGCGCATCATCCGACTTACAGAGAGAATGGGAAAGGAGGCACGGTCATTTTCATACTGTATCCTTAAGTTTACCATATTGGTTTTCATGTTCCCTTCTGCTCAAAGCTTTTCGTATTTTTATGTTGTGAAGGGTCATTAAATTGAGATGAAATTCTTGACATCGACTCATATTGGCTATAGATATGGGATAATGGCAGGAAAAGAAGCCTCAGCACAAGACGGTTTTAATGCTGGCTTTAAGCAATCTGTGCTTGTGGGGTACAATTGGGGACTTGTGAGAGGAATTACAAGGTGAAAAGTGCTTTATAGTTCGTTCTCCCATGATTTTGGTGTAGTTGTTGAATTTATTTTTGAGGTTTTATTTGTGAATTTTGATGAGAATCAAGACCTGTATTTTGTTTCTGTGGTTGTTACTCTTCCTCTTTTCAGTAACTCATGTTTTATGTTTCTGTAATTGGTTGGAAGCACTCTAGCTTGTCTTCCTGATGACTGAAGAGAAACTATGGTTGGGACATTGGAGAAGAGAAATAGACTTCAAGAGTTATATGAGAATGTGAAGTCCATATCAACTAAAGATGCCCTGAAATTATTCCATAATGTTTTTGTCAACACTGAATCAGAGAACTGTGCTACAAATTTGGAGGAGAAAATGCAAGCAATGTCTCTCTTGACTGATGTCTTTGGTTCAAACAAGCTCGAGGACTTTTCCCAAAAATTGGACACCATTCTTCGTGAGTCACCCATTCCTGAAGTGAACACATTACTGAACTCAAAAGTGGCTTAATAAGCCTTCTTAAAAATTGATGGCTTTCTAATGCGAATAACTGGGTCTCCATTACTTTGTTGTATTATATTATGTTGTTCATTCCATTTATGAACTTCAGTTGTTACAGAGTACTGGTTCAATGTAATTTATGATTATTTTAAGGGCTTCTTTGTATTTGTGAGTCTTTTTATGGAAGTCATGAATTATGTCTGTATTCTCTTATAGATTTGACTGCACTATGCATAAGAATTGTTCTATTCACTTCCCTGATTGTCTTAAACCACATACTAGATTGGTGTTATGAATATGGACAACTATGATTTCTTGTCGTGTTGATATTCAGAGAGTTTTACTCTTATTTGAAACTTGTAAAATGTGGTGGAAAATTGACACTGATATTTATTGCTTACTGCAATTACATCATTTTATTATTCTATCCAGTGTTTAAAAAGTTGCGGGATTGCATCATTTTATGCCATCCAGTGTTAAAAACTAGCCAGCTTGGGTTGGGACCCTGGCAATTCTGGAAGAAAACCATGGAATCTCTCACTTGTCCTCCCCTGTACTTATTTTATGATAAAAGTTGACCATACTAGGCCAGAACTTACCCAATTCAGAAAGAGTGACTTGGGCATGGGACTCTGGCAGGTATTAAGCCCGAGTCCATTGTTATTCATTTGAAAACAAAATAAGTTAAATGACTTGGGAGGTTTTCCTTTTACTTTTTTTTTCTTTTGTTATGGTTGGTTTGAGATGGCAGCGAACATGGGCAGTGGGTTCGTGTATAGCAGTTCGGTTGTTCATCTGTTACTGTTTGTGAAATCAAATAAATTAAAATGATATTTTTTGAGCGTACATGTGCTTGAGCTTTGCTATATTTAATTGGGGCTAGAAATGCTTGCCTCCTCATCTTCAATGAGGTGCTCCTTCATAAATAAAATTATATATAACCTAATAATATTCAAATCTATTATTCTCTCGATTTTAATCTATGTATAAGCTCTGTAACTGCAAATAGCAGATAAGTAACTAGTTTTCAAATGCTCTATTTATTTTGGAATTATGTGTCAACGATCACAACCTTGAAATTCTTTGAGCATAAGCATAAGCATAAGCCAAACAAATAACATCATTTGTAATGGAATACGTTAATTGTCCAATGCCCCAGTGGTCCAGACGAATTTGAGGTTATTGACAAATGAAGAAAACAAAAAACATAAAAGAACTAAGATGCTTCACTGGATATGCTTTCGATATGTTTTCTAGCAGTTTTATGGATTTCAAAGTATCTATTGAAATGCAAACATTTGAATTTCCTGGTCAAAAAGCAGTGATTATAAACACCTCATCCTCATTTCTGTCTTGAAATGTAGTTTATTGATAAGCATTGGGAGAACAACTACCTTATTCTGATGTCTTTTATCTTTATATTGGTGGCACCAGAGGCTTTGAGCTCATCCTGGGCATGTATTTTGAACATAAGTTGGATGACTATTGACTACAATCACTTGCAGGTTTGAATGTATCTCTTATTGAATATATTGTAAACCATATTATCTCAACAATTGTCACAGTGTGCTCCCCAAAATTTAGCGTTGATGTCGGTTTTATTATTTACTCTTCACCTTTACTCTTTCCCCTTCTGGATCCTTTTCTAATTTATTTTTCCTTTTATTTTCAATTAATTAAATAGTTTCTATTCCATTTTCTTATCGACCTTGGCTGTTGCCCCTTTTTATTATGATGAACAATTTATTTTTATGGAGATGAGCACTCGGACATCTCTTAAGCTCTTCTTGGCTCTTTTTTTTTTAATTTTATTTTTGTAAATGTAAGCATCGGACCTAATTGAAATGGAACTGAAGATGTGTTGTGGCACCTTGCCACCATGACCACCTATGCCTTTTGCTCATATTGAGTCTTTCCGATTTGCAAATGAATTTGGACATCTATGAATTCTATGTAGAATGAATTGCTTGCCTTTGGGTCAACCTCCAGTTTTTCCTTGAATGACCCATATTTTCCGGCTCCTGGTGGGATATTTCCCCTTGAATATCAGAACGTTATGCTATTCTTTACAACTTAAAACAACATTTATATGGCAGTGTAGTTTGTAGGTACCTTGGGTTGGCTCTCTAACGCTTTAAGACGTGGTTGAATGATTTGATACGATAGTTGTACTTATTTAGGGTCTTATTGTCCAGTGATCTCTATGTTCCTTAAATATTTTACTCATTATTCTTGGAACAACTTTTGATCATAAAGCATGTTTCAAGTGGGTCTTTTGTGCAAAAT